TCAAAACGGCTCGTTGTTCGCGAACAGCTCGTGTTCGGCTCATTAAGAAACTCGTGTTCTGCTTGTTCGTTCCGTGTTCAGCTCGATTTGGCTCGAAATACTACTAATTAATTATATACATATTTTTGTTGAGTAGTATTTTTAAAAAATTTAATTCGCTACAAGGCTTCAAAGATTTACAATCAATTAAAAATATTAATGAAAAAAATAGAATAAAAATTATTAATTTATATTCAAATGATGTTTTAAATCTTGCCTCATTCCTTAACAGCTTATGACCAGGTGATTAGGGTTGTCAAAACGATTATTTATTCATGAACGGCTTGTGTTCGGCTCGCTAAGCAAATGAGCCGAACACGAACACACTTTTTGAGCTCAAAATATAAATGAGTCGAACACGAGCTGTTTCGGGTTGGCCTCCTAAAGCAACCGAGCCGAACACTAACACACCTTAGCTCGAAATATAAACGAGCCAAACATGTGCTGAGCCTGGCTCGCCCGTGTTCGGCTCGTTTACACCCCTAGCGTCATCTATAAAAATCTTCCATTTTTAAAAGTGAAATAGTACAATTTATTATAAGTGTAAATATATTTGTGTGGCATGCATGTAAATTTCCAAATAAAAAATAAAATTGTTGTAGTAGCCTGATACCAAGCTGATATATGTTGCATGTCGAGCAAAAATGATGCAAATTGAAGTTCACATAAAACAAATTAGATTATCCATACAACCCTTTCTTTAACGTCTCTCACCGATGTGTTGAAAGTGTAAATATCAAACATTTGGTGCTAGATATGTAAATAAATAAAATATGTAACTTTCCCTTAATTTTATTGTTGGGAGGATTATAATTTAAATATTTTTTTATTTATGTTGTTCGATGTTGCTAGGACAAGTTATAATGTGAAAATGTCAAAATATTTAAGCAAAATATATAATTAAAAATAAATAAAAATATGATTTTTTTTTTTAATTTGGTCAAAATATATAAATTGACATAAGTAATGCATTGCGCCGGTTGAGTTTAATATTACATAATAAAGATATTTTTGCTTGCATTATTGATTAAATAATTATAATTTTGTTTATTTTGGTGTATTTAGATATCATGAATTTATAGAATGCAAAATGAAGGAGTCAATTTGACTCCATTTTTTTTTTCAAAATTTTGAAATAAATAATTAAAAATTATTTATTTTGGTGTATATATATATGTATATATGTATATATATATAT